CAGTGCCATTTTAACATGCATCTCTCTGATTGCCAGCCAGGTTGGGCATCTGGGGTCGGGGCTGTATGTGAAGTCTGGGCACAGTGGGGTGGGCATCCTGATTCTTGGAGGGCTGGTTTACAAAGCCCCACTGAAGGGGAACTGGAGCTGAGTTCCTAAAAACCACGCTCTTGCTCTTTTCCTGGCTGTGCCAGAGTGGGAGAGTCAGAGAAACGGAACAAACCTGGCCCCTGCTGCGATTGTGACACCCCTTCTTTAGAAGAGGAGGGAGTACAAATAGACCTGCTTATTCTCCAGAATTGGAATTGAACTTCTGAAACTGGGGTAGGGTGCCAGTTAGGCTCCCCCAACCCCCGATACTGCCTTTATACCCTCCACTGGTGCCCACAAACTCCCACCCCACTTCTGGATGTTATTAGAGCCTTGAGCTTTCAAGCGTTGTGGTTGGACAGCTTTGAGGAGTTCCTGGCCTGGCCTCTGTCTCCCTGCAAGGCCTGGGTCCTCCTTTCTCAGCGCCTCAGTGAATCTGTCTGAAGGATGAGAGGAGACTGATGACAGTCCCTGTTATTGAGACAATTAAAGGAATTGAGAGGCCCCTGAACCAGAGGGAATGGGGGAGTGTGCAGCGAGGCACCCATTGGGAGGTCAGAGGTGACAGGAGGAAGGCTTCTTGACTTATGTGTGAAGTTTGGGAGGGGGATGGTGGGCAAGATAAGCTGGAAGGGAGGGGAGAGGATAGGTGGCTTGTGAGGGGACATCCACCTGGCCCAGCATTTGGGCACCGAGGGTGGTGGAGCCCGGCTGCCTGGACGACCTAAGTGGCCATCTGGGGACGAACTTTTGCTAGCGAAGTACCTGTTATTAACCTGAAACGTAAATTTAGGTGGGTGCCCTATATTTTGCCTGACAACTCTAGCTGGGATGCCAGGAGAGAAGAGGAAGAAAGTGGGGAGGCCTGGGACCCCCCTCCTTGCCTGGGAGCAGTGATCTTGCTGCAGCCCACCCTTTCCCCACAGGAACTGCCAGGCCTGGAAATAGCAAGAAGCACCCCCTCCCTCCTGCCCCCCAATTCCAAGAAGGGTCCTTGCTACACTGCTTTCTGAGAGTTAGTTCCCCTCCTTAACCCACACCCAGGCCGCCCCCTGCACCGTGCAGCCTGGTCTTCCCCTCACCCCACACACCCCATTCATTACTCATTAACTCATAGGTAACCTTGACCTGATTGAATTAACCCATCTGCCCTATGGCTCCTTCCCCCCATGCTTTCATGCACATTCAGCAGAGGCCTGAGCACCAGGGACCCGAATCCTGGGAGGACATGGTGGGCAGATTTTGATTCTAGCTTTGACTTCTCCCAGCCTGTTCCTGATCTGTACCCTGGACACTCACAGTCATGTACCTCCCTCCAGGGCATCAGGCAAGCAGAATGCTCAGCGTGGCACCCTGCATGTAGCGACCGCTGGATGTGCTTGAAACACATATTTAATTTTGGTAATACCTCCTCCTCCTCCCTCTTGCCTGATGTCTTTGATAGCCCAACAGGCCTCCCAGCCAGAGACCTCCCTTCCTCCTTCTCCCTCGCCCTCTGTGTCCAACCCTCACGGACCCCTCGGATGTCTCTCTGAGCTCATCCCTTCTTTTCACTCCGTGCTCCCTGGCTTCCCTGCTGTAGACTCACCTCTTGCAGTTCATCTACATCACATTCACTGGGGCTTTCCCCCTAGAACACACCCTTGTATTCCCTCTGCAAAGTGATGATGTATAATGCATGAAGA